CTTAATCCCGCCATCCCGCCCCACTCAGAATGTTTATCCCAATCCCGCCTGGTTAGAATCGCAACTCTCCACGTAACGTCCGTAAACTGCGATTTTCTATTCTCCATCCCGCTTCCCGTCTTTCACAATGAGCAAATCCCGTTTCCGCTGAAGTATTTTCACCCCGCATCCAGCTATGAAAATTCCTCTCAACCCGCATCCCGCCTCCAATTTTACTTTCTTCTCGCATCCTGCCAAACCTATGTTGAACCCTCAAGCATTTATAGACGAAAAATAGGGGGAAATATTCCTTCTTTCGTTAATAAAGACCTTACATAAGCGGACATTGTTTATAACTAACGTCGGTGGATCAAAGCTACAATATTCATGGCCAGATGTGAATTCAAAAGATTTTTATGAGAAAGTATTTTATTAATAAGCCTTATTCGCGACAGCCGCCGTAACGATTTTCAAATTATAATTCAAATTAGCGGCATCTGCTCTGCTAGAGGGCAAATGCTTGAAAAATTGAGACACTTTTCAGAAAATCATCGTAACACTTTAATATCTATACCAAAATTATGTTTGAGTGCTCGATTATACACAGCTATTAAAGCAACTTTTATTAGTTTGTAATGGTTCCCCCTCACCCCCCAGGCATGCTTGTCGCGCGCGTAGATATATCCGGACTTATTTAACTCAGTTGCCATGCCTTTTATTTCATGTAAAGTCCCTACAGCAACTCATATAAAATTGTACCACTGTCTACTATAATGCTGCAAGAATGCAATGCTTACCTTTGACCTGCGATGGACTAGCATCCCGTCCAGGGGAAGTAGAAATACTCCTAGCCGCTTCATGCTACAGAAACCGGGATAAGCTCCGGTAGCTACGAGCCAGTCGGCTCCAAGGCTTCAATTTTTCTTTTTTCTTTTTGCCTTAATTAATGTGAATATATACCTGCTCATGCTGACATGTGGATGAAGTGGACAATGCAAAATCGTTCTTAACATCAATAGCGCATGGTGGATTTATTAGGCCTTGTCCGCACTACGCCGGAGAAATTTGAAAACGCAGCTTTATTTCTACGGTTAGGCCAACCTTTTACACTAATCCGTCACGAAACTCAGCTTTTCGATAACTCTCTTCAGGCTGGAGGATTTTGAAAACGCTGGCTTTGCGTTTTCGTGTGAACGGAAAACATTTTGAAAACGGTGCTTTTCGAAAACGATAAGATCCCAATAATCATGTTTGGGCTGTTTTCACGTGATAGTGAAACCTCAGTTTTCAAATCCTCCGGCGAAGTGTGCACGGAAAACATTTGATGCATTTTCGGAGTGAAACCTCAGTTTTCAAATTCCTCCGGCGTAGTGTGAACGGGTCGTAAAGGGAGCAAAAAAATGGAGCGTGGAAAACACATTTCACTGTTTCTTGTTCATGCAGCTCATCAAGTCTGCGAACATGTTTATAACTAACGCGATAACGAACAAACAAGTCAAATTTGATCTAAAGATACATTCATCTATAAATACAACAAGCGCAGCGGAAACTGTCCTTCTTAACTGAATTTATCTTCAAGATGTTTTGTCTTCTTATAGATCAATTTGCCAATCTCGATCTGGCCAATATCGGCTACAAAGTGTACACCGCATGCATGTCGCTATTTTACACAGGCTCCACTCAGATAACGCTTTTACACCCACTCATCAACCTAACTACGGTATTTTATGTGTTCAAAGACATATTCAAAGTCCAAGTTTTTACACATTTCGAGAAATAGATGAGTGAATAAATTTCACGAATGCAGAGTGAAAGCAAAGCTCCCACCGTACAATCATTTTAGGCATCAAAGGCTCAGACAATATAAATATGTGGTCGACCATACTTTACGTATTTCAGACTTGACTTGACCATTGAAAAAAAAAAGGGTCAAATCTTTCAAAGATTCTATTTTAAGAAGAAGAAGAAGAAAAGAAAAACAGCTCAATTTTGGTCTCCAAGGAAATTGGAGAAGATTTATGGGAAAAAAAAAAAAAAAAAAACGAACCAGAATGAGTATTCTTTGACACATGACCTTTGTACATACAGCCGTAGCTATGCATATTCGTTCTCAATATGACAAGAAACCGCCCTGAGAGAAACTTAGTACACAACCAGTAGGGCCATCATCACTTAAAAGTTTGAATATTCCCAGAAGAGGGTGGTAGTTCCAAAATATGCTACATAGATACGAGCGGCGACAGAAAGTGGTGGTTCGACCGTTTATATTAATGTTAACAATTCGGTCTGAAATACTTAAGGAACGGTCTGATCTGGAGTTTGATAATGGTTTTTCGAAGAAACCATTTTTTTATTTTTACTATTACCAAGACTGAAGATACCATGACCTTTTGCTTGAGATGTGCTGTCAATCTGAGAGAGGGCAGGGAAAATCATATATAAAATTTCGAGGAGTGTTTCAGAGCTTGATTTATAGCTCGCGTGATCATGTAGCTTTATAAGCTTTGTCTTTTGGAATTGAAAACGAGATTATTTTTGTCTACTATAATGAGGGATGTTTTGAAATTATCGTGTCGACGTTAATTAATTGCAACTCAGTCTTCTACCTTACAACCTTTGCAAATGATGTTAATTAATTTACATTTATCAATCATTATTCAGCGTTGATCACGTTGCTGTACTGACACAGTCAGAATGTACTTTTAAAACTGTCATCTCTGCTATGTTTTGCGGGTAAGGACGATCGGATGCAAAGAGACATGTTTCAACAGCTAGTTCATAGGCAAACCAAGAAAAACATAGAAGAGTTTTTATCTGATGCGATAGCGTGTCTTTCCTTTAGCTAACGTGCCTTTTTTTCGACATGCACTCGTTGTAAATTACTGATGTCTATTTGCAATTGCAAGTAACTCAACCCAAACTATTAATAAACTTCCAACAGCTATCATTTGAACGTTCATGTTAATCTGCGACCCGGTTTACCGAATGCGAACGTGTTGTTCACCCTTGCGGACAAGGAGGGCACTAGGATCGGATGTAAAGAGACATATTTCAAAAGCTCGTTTTATTTTTCCGGTACGAAGATAAAATTTTGATGCATTTGTATGTCGCGCCGCGTGTGGATCTAACATTTCATGACTGCAACGGCAAAGAAAATACTGGACATTTTTTTCATATTAAATGCTATTATGTAATTCGCAAAGACACTGGGAAATGCAGTAATAAAGAAACCCACTCCAAGCTCCACGTTCTGTTTGGAGTTGTTCACAAAAAGTTTTCTTTTAAACGTAGGCTAAGGAGAGATGGAAATGGTCTTGAATTGAAATAACAGACGGTTGATCGAGAGCCGATGGAAAACTTGACGTCCGTTCTCGCGCGGTAGTTTTATTTTATCCATTTCGCGATTTAAAAACAGGAAAAGCAATTGTAAACATTTGTCTTAATGATATCACAGTTTACAAAGAAAAATAATATGTAAAGTACTGCTTTAATTTTGGCTCTATTTTCGCAAAGAGAAACAATTTATGAGTCTGGCAAGCAATTAAGCTATAAGACGCCGAAAAACTTATGAGATAGGAAGTTCTTGTGCTATACTGAAAAAACAGTACGTGACCTAGATCAGTGAAAAAAAGAAAAAAAAAGATACTTCCGATTTCCTCCTCTCTAGGTGCTATGCAGAACAGACCTTTAAAGACAAACGTTCTGTGTAAACATTTACTAATTTGACACCATTCAATAGGTCGAACTGCTCTACAACTTTGAGAGTTTGATTTTTTTTAAGCGCTTTTTGCGCTGGGAGTTCGTCAAAGTCGAATGCAATTAATCAATATTTATTGTTGTGGGTGCCACAGTGTCGCATCGGATCACTAGCGTTTCCAATTTCTCTTGTTAAAGTAAAACTCATAACACTAAACTCCTTGGCGTCATTTTTTATCTTTTTTATTTTCAACATTGTATTAGCACTTAACAGCTCGAAGCGCGGCGGTTGTGTATTAAAGAAACAAAGACACGCCGCTAGGGAGGTAGAGTGAGACTCGAACAATGGGAAAATCTTATTTTACGACGAAGATTAGCCCGGGCTCTTGAACCAAGCGGCGCTTAGCATTCTCAAAAATGAAACAAACCTTTGCTGAAGAAGAAAAGCTTTTTGTGCGTCTTCTGAAAAGCATACAAAGCTATGTTTTTCGTTGTCGCGGATTATTGATCAGTCTCAGCAATGGTACAGATGTTTTTTTTATATTCCGTGTGTGTCTTTGTGCGCTGCCTAACAAATAAACTTAATACTTCTCCGCGTCAATAGAATTTCAATTTATTCAGAAATCGAAACAAAATTGCACTAAATTTGTCTTCGGTTTACTAAGTAACTTTACACAATACGCTCTTTTTTTTTTCTGTTTTTTTTTTCATTCTCTCTTATCTTTTTTCGTCTTATTTGCTTTAAAGAGCGAACGATCAGTTAAAATCATTGATTTTTCCATCCATTTTGAAACGTCATCTATATTATCGTTTCGCCCGCTGGTTGCCGCAGAAGCCTTTGCTCATCAATATGAACAACTTCACCGAAGTTTACCTTGACTTTTCGTGTTGCTAGAGGCGCGACATAACCGTCATCGCCCTCGTTAACATCTTCCGCATCCTTAAATTGCCGAAAACTGTTTCGCACGTTTCTGTACGCCACGCAATCACGCCTCGCTTCGTATTTTGGAATGAGTTCGTGGCGCCAATAATTATTCCAGAACTCCTTTCTCGCCGTGTAAAGTTTGTGAGGCGATTCGACTTGCATCGTGTACGGCTTGCGGTTTTTCTTCTGTATTTTCTTTTTTCTCCGCGTAGTGCCGTGACCCTTTCTGTTGCAGTTATTGTCGCGAATCACCTCCGATTTTAAACACGAAGATGCAAACGCCTTAAGCGCGCTACAAGAATTGAACATGCCTTTGCAGTAACGCCTGTGAAGGAACACAAATATGAAGGGATTGATGGCAGAGTTGGAGTACACCAGGATAAAACAGAAGACGATGATGGTATTAAAGTTCTCGTACTCCCTTCCCGCGCCAAAATCATACCATATCCACATGATATGGTTTGGTAGCATGCACAACGAAAAGGCAATCACCACAAGGATAAATATCCTAACAATTCGCATGTTTCGCTGCGCTCTTGCTTGTGTTAGTGGCTTTTTACTGTTGCCATTTTTCTCGCCAATCGCCTTCTGCATCCTCTGTATGTCCCTCCAAAGCTTCTGACTGATTCTGATGTAGTTGGCGGTGATGACAAATAGCGGCAGCACGTATAACGCTATGAAAACAGCCAAGGTGAACACTTTAGGGTGATATGCCTGTGGCCAGCTCTCACTGCATTCCGTCCTTCCATCGGCCTTTTCAACCCGGAGAATTGCGATATACGGACCGACTAAGCTAATACTCGCGATCCACAAGAAAAACACGACTGCAACCGCCCGCTTTGCTTTCAGTTTTGGCTTTAACGGTGGCATAACGGAGCGGTGCCTCTCCCAGCTCATGAAAAGCAGGGTGTACACCGAGACCGCCATCAGGATGGTCTGCAGCGGGTAGACAGTTTTACAAAGCACGTTGCCAAAAGGCCACTGTTTCATTAAAATCTCCACAAAGTCAAATGGAATACTAATCACACAGGTCGCCAAGTCAGTTGCAGCTAAGTTGAGGATGAAGACGTCGGTTATACGGAGACGGCGTCTTTTGAAAACAGCCAAGCAAATCAGAGTATTGCCTATCAATCCTGCAGCAGTGATGATAGGGAAACACATCATTTGGACGATAGCAAGTCGGTCGAATCCTTCTGCGGAAATGCTTTTGTTTGTCGTAGATTGCGCCGTTAAGTTTAAAGTTAAACCCTTCGAAGTGCTTAAAGACGCATTTAGCGCGATAACGTTCGAAACGTTGACGCTTCGAGCAAGAACGCTTGAAGAATTCATCATGTACTTGTTGCGACCCGTCAGAAGAATGTTTTCCTTCTTCTTGTGTCGAGTTAATAAGCGGTTTGCCCGCGCGCGAGTTTTCTGAGTGAATGGCAGCTCCTCGTATTTAAATTGTCATTATCTTTGACGTGAAAATAAATGCCCTCGACCATCTGTCCCCGGATTGAATGGCCTAGAATCCTCACTTAATAACGAAGGCTGAGTGGACAACCGGGAGAATTAGAAAGACAACAGCTAATGTGTTTTGGAAACAGTGTTTATCATATGCATGAAAACAGCGCATCTCCACGAATAGACGAACACCGCAGCTCTTTTTTTGGTAAACATGTAAGGATTGCCAACGCCTCCAAACCCGAATTAATGATAACAGAAGCACCCTAACTTCCAAGAAAAGGAAAAAAAAAACATCCTAATAATTTGGAAATAAGCGGTTTTATTGTCATTGGCGATGAATTTGAGAACGTCATTAAATTTAACTACACAACGCCTCAGAGAAAACAGCCAATTCCAAACGCAAAACCGCAGTTTAAATACAACGGAGGTGGTTTAAATAGAGTCTTATTTATTTAGCCTTTTATACTCAAGCTATATACACGAGACTGTGTTCGGGTTTTTTTAAGGAAAGGTAAAAACTGCAAAGTACACTTCGAAATCTATTCGTCACATCAGTATTTTGGCTTTAGTTTAGTCTTTGGAAAAATTAAACAATATTCAGTTCTCCACTATGATAGCATCTTTTCTTGACACTTCTTGCTTGAATATATTGTAATAAAATAAAGATACGGTGCAGCTTCTTTTATTCATCCTCGCATTTGTTTGTCATTTCCACAATCATAATTTGGATGTTCTCTGTAGTGCGGTAGTAAATCATTTTTTCTTCTGACAGTTATTGTCTCGTTTATTTACCTACCTCAAGGTCTCTTATTATATGATAATTTCTAACAGATCACTGTGCCATCACCGAGAGCGCAATATAGTAGCGAAAATAAACTTTTTTGTCGTGATGTTAATTTGCGTATAGTCTGGCTTTTTGCGAAGCTACGCGTGCAAATATTTCAATAACTTCATATATTTTAATATGTGAAATAAAGAAGAAATAACACGTTCTGTCATTGGACGAAAACGTTTGGAAGCATAAAATTGCACTAAATTCTTTTAGGGCATAAATTTCACGCATGAAATAGGAAACTTTCTTTTTTTTCCTTGTGGTTAGGAAACACTTGACCAAACTCAAGCAGCTGTTTAGATGAGTGTCTCCATAGCTTTTTTGTCTCGTGTTACTGGACACGAACATTTGTTATTATATCTCTGTGGAAAGAAGGGAACATTTCCCTTTGTTTTAAATTACGTACCTCAGGGTATATTACGTAACCAACAAACAAAGGGATAAAGCAAGTTTCCAAGCATAATTTATGAGAAAAGAAGAATTGTTTGTAGCGGAGAAATAATCTTTCCCCTAATCGGAAAATAACTCCCCCATATCTCAGACGCGAAAAAATTGTGATTATAACCCCTTTTCCATGTACATATTCACTGAGATTTACCTAAAACAAGATATAAGACATATAACTTGAGAACTTGCCTTTCTGTTGTATATCGTTGCAGTTTACTACGAAACTTGCAATGTTCATTAAAGACTACAGAATTTGTTGTGTCTTTCATATCGTTTAGAGAGCTTTGTCATGTGCTGTTCCCGTGGACACCCAAATTCTTTCCGAGTTCTTTAGGCGCAGCATCCTTCACAAATCTAAAACCCAAGCATTTTTCTTACAAAGCAAATACAAGCCCAAGGTTTGAAATGAGCAAATTATAAGGTTGCAAACCTCACCAATTGCTTGATATGTTGCATTCACATGTTTGCAGCTTTAACCTGGCGCCACGAAGACTGAAATAATATGATACCATTTGACCAATTCGAGCAAATTTCGGATAAACATGACGAGTTGGTCTTTATTTTTACACATCCATGAAAATGTGAGAGATAATAAAGCTGCCGGAAACACACGATAAGGTTCTAGCCGATCTGCTCTTTATTCAAAACTTTACCAAACAAACCATGTTTGTAAAAAAAAAACAGCTGCTATGTAACTTACTTTACAGAATTCCCGAAAGCATATTTATGAATTGTCGTAAAAACATTCTATACAAAGCGATCAGAGTTCGGCATTTCTATTCAAAAAATAAGGCGGCGTAAGATAGATCTACTATTGTATTTAGAGGGATAAGTAATTCATAAGTTAATGCCACCGAGCATCGTAAGTGCGCTCAGAAAAAAGAAAATTTAGAGACAAGAAAGCTCTAAATGACTCGGCGAAGTTTGCATTGTTCGTATTGTACTTGCAACTTTAAACCAATATTTTCGAAACGTTCGTCCCTGAACGACTACAATTTTTTTTTGAAGCAATTTACTGTGTAACTAGACAGCAACAAAGTTACGCCTTAAAGTGCACCTAACCCCAAAAAATTTTTTTCGCTAGAACGAATCTACTTATTATTTGAAATAGTTCTGCGAAAAAATTTTTGGATTCCGTTAAATCCTCGATTTTCTGTGCCACGACGAAATCTCGAAAATAGCTCCAAAACACCGCCATTTTGTTTCCCGACCGAGTTTGAGGAGAATGGGTCCAGCGGCTATTGTGACGTCTACCCAGGAAGGTTGGATATCTCATTTCCTCTCATCTCCTCCAGGATGGTGCAATACACATTCGAAAAGTGCGCAGAAACGCCTTCCAGAGGTGCTATCGGCTGTTGCAGCAATATTCCAGATTTAAAGAAAGGTATACT